ATGCAGCAGATAAGTGCTTGGCTGCTGACCAAAAGGTTGGCGGTTCGAACCCACCCATTGACTCGGTGGCAAAAAGACCTGGCGATCTGCTCTGGTAAAGATGAACCAAAATTCCGGCTGCCATCAGCCTAGGAAATCATATGGGGCAGTTCTATTCTGTCACACGGGGTCACTTATGAGTCAGAATTGACTCAATAGCACCCAGCAACAACAGCTCAGACATTAAGTTCCACCCTAAAGCCATTTTGATCCTTTGTTAAAGATCGATATGTTATCTAAATTACATGACATAGATGAGCTAGAAACAACTTACTCCTAGTTCATCTAAAAGATTTTTCTATTTGAATAAAAGAAAGAATTTTATTAAGGTGTTCAGGAACTGCTTTCGTACACTAATCAGATCATTTCAGCAAAGAAAGTTCAAGAGTAAGGTCCAGAAGGAAGATGATTTGCATTATGACTCAGCTCCCAAGGACAGACACAAAAACACAGATCATTCTCAGTCTCTCAGAATGACAGGACTGAGACCACATATGCCCAGAGTCATGCATGAAAGCACTCTTACCACTGGTCATTGGGATCAATGACTCTGTGGGCTTAGCTGTATCTAGTATTTGACCCTATTGTTCTTAAACAATAAGTTTTGCATTCGTTTGATGAGGGAAAATCCTGTAGATAGCATCACTGTTATTCAATGAACTTAAAATGATCAGTATTGTAACTCACAACCTAGTGGCGTCTTCCACTACAACATATGCAGATACCTGGCTAAGCCTGACTCTTTAAAATATGTAATCACCATTATGCTCTATAAGATTATGAGGCTTTAATAGCCTTAGAGTTGAACAGAAAATAGAAACACAGAATATAAGATTTAGACACTAATCTGATTCTCAGCTTTCAGACTCTTTAAAAATAATTTATTTTGTATTCCATCTTGTTGCCTTCCCTTTAGCCTCTGATCTTTGCACCAGTCAATGGGCTGTCATCAATGATGACAACAGAAAGCCCCTTTATTTGAGAAACAAACTTGACTACTTTAAAATCCAAGACCTCACAGTTACTAAAACTGTAGGCCTATCACTTGATAATGATAATGTAATAGATGATTCAAGTGCTGGCATATAGAACAACCACAGAACTAAATTCAGAATTGTTTACCAGCAACACCTGTGCTTTCTAAAAGCAAAAAAAGGTCAAAAAAAAAAAAAAAAAATGAGGAGTGCATCTGTATTCTTAACCCCCTAAGCAGGAAGTTCTATCTAGTTAGATTTAAAAATAAGTAAATAATACCGTCAGTTAATTGCTACCTTTACACTTCTTGATTCACATTCTGAGCAACACCAGTTGTGGCCAGTTATTATTACAAAAGCGCCTATTGCACGGGCACTGAAATAGAACATCTGGATGCTAGTGCTAAATTAAAATTGTCTGTGCACCAAGAGGCAGATTAGGAATGAGTATCTAAAGCAAATCAGTTTGAGTAAAATAATAATTAATATGATATAAAGAACTGTAAACATACTACTAAGTTCTATAAAATACTATATGTATTTTAATCCTTCTTAGCTGGAGAGCCCAGGTTATTCCTGGAGAGAGGGACCAAATTCAATCCCTTTTCTCCACTGGGTGCCCTTTAGCCATATGGCAGGTGCTGGGAAAGGCTCTGCAGACATCCATTTAGAACAAGAATACATTGCAACTGAGAGCTCTGAAAAGTCAGCAGACAGCAGCAAATCTATCTCCTACAATGGGTAGACAGAGATTATCATACAGCCCTAACATTATTCATCTCTTCATTTCTTAGCTATTCCAGCTGTCTGGAGCAACTAGGCACAGATAGATTTAAAACAAGGCTTTGTATCAGGCTGGGCAGGATCCCTGGGTGATGCAAATGGTTTGTGCTTGCCTACTCAACAAAAGGTAGATAGTTCCAATTTACCCAGTAGTGCCACAGAAGAAAGTTCTGGCAATCTACTTCCATAAGATTACAACCACTGAAAACTCTATGGAGCTCATTTCTAGTCTGAAGCACATGGAGTCACCATGAGTCTGAATCAACTCAATGGCAATGGGTTTTAGGTTTTTTAAGGGGCAGGATTCAACATACCTCATGCCTTGGATAAGAGACTTGTCTTTGTCGTTCCTTTCTTGACCCCAACACTAGGCGGCATGCCTCTCATCAACTAACAGGGGCAGCAACAACAAATGGAATATATGCAAGTGTGAAGATAATTCCATCATCAGATATAGGTTTCTAAACTTCCCATGCAAGGATTATATCTAATTTTTTGTTGTCACTGTGATTACCTATTGCTATAATCTGAGGGCCAGATCTTCTAAAGGCCCTAAATCAATGTTTGGAAACTCTTACCTTCTATATTTTCCCTGATTATATTCTCATCTCCATGTCCTCCCCAAGTTTATGTCTTATCTTAATCTGATAGTCAACAGAGCAAAAATATTGTCTTGGTCAATGTACCACTAGGGGAATTTGGGAGAACAAGTTGAGAACGTTTGGAATCAGAACAAAAGTTTAATTGAGCAAGTTACTAATTTCTCTCTGTCAGCTCAGTTATTGCCATCAGATTTTCCAGATCACATTTGGCTTTTTCAAAGACTGCTTTATTCTTACACTCTCACCAAAACTCGATGGCAATGTTTCTCAATCTTTTTATTTTTCATTATCACTGCCTCCTTCTTAAGGAGCCTATATAGACTTTTTTTTTTTTAATCACCTCCCCCCATTAAATGTGAATACCACAGATACACAGTATATCAATTTATATGCTGTGGTCCTTCAGAGGATCGAAAACTCTTGTAATATCTAAGTTTATTCACCCTCCCCAAGCACCAATTTTCACCCCCTTGGAGGTAATATTACCCCCTTTGAGAATGCATGCTATATAGTACTTAGGAAAGAGCTGCCATTTGAAAATTCCCCAAACTAACAACTAATTGTGAGTATTAACTTTTTTTTTACTCTACACATAACTTTTTTTAAATCTAACTACCTTTTGCCTCTTCCCAGTCCTGTCTGTAAAATCCGATCGACATCGAGAAACGTATTGAGCAATATGAACTAATCAAGATGTGTGTGTGTGTGTGTGTGTGTGTGTGTGTGTGTGTACAAAGCTACAAAACATCTTTAGCTAAAATTTGAAGAAATAAGATATCCAGGCTAGTTTTTAAAATTTTGATAAAGCATTCCCACATACTAGACATGTACAGAATGTTAACAATGAAACCTTTAATATGAGAATATTCTCTTCCAAACAAAAATATCATCTTATAAGCTGCATGACTTGGTTTTAGTCAGAATCCTGGGTTAATGGACAATGGTTACATACTTTTCATTTTCTGTCCTTGACTTCTTGTAACTGATACTTGGGAGACTAAGGATTATAAAAGTATGGGTACGAAGTCATGCAAATTATAAATTGCATTTTACTACATGCAGTTAAAGGGGCATACAAACTGCAAACATGAACAAATTGTACAAGGTCGATCCCTGGTGGAAGCATTAAAGAGAAGAAACAAATCTAATAAATGTTTGGTCTTGAGCCTAAACTCTTTTTTCAAGTTTAGCAAAAAAGAAAAAAAAAAGGATGATCTAACTAAGATGGAGTGTTATTAAAAATGCATGGCTGGGATATTTTACATGACAGAACTGTGAAAAAATAATTCTAAAATACAGGGGGTCTTCTGGCCAAGAAGGCAACTCTGTTGTTTCCCTTTATCCCTTCCATACACCTACACCATCTCAGATGACATGAGCACACTGAAAATCCATAAATCTGCTATCAGAAAACTTAACATTTTTTCTTTCATAGTCCAAAGTTTCTCAGTGAAGTCCAAATTAAAGACATACCAAGTGAGAAACTGATAAAGGAAGGAGATGGTTAATACGAGTTTTCCAAGTAAGACAGTCAACTATTGCTAACCCAAACAGCCAAGCCATTACGAATAGCTTGGTATTCTCCTTGGAAGGATGTGTTAGAACTTTTAGGAAGTAGATGGAGAGAAAGATACTGATGAAGAAAAAAAAAACAACAACAACAACGAAAAACTATAAATCAATTCAGGCAGGAGGCAGAAACAGCTGCAAAATACTGGTAACATAAGCTGTAGTTGAAAATTGAAATATAAATCAACTTCAGGACTTGGTGGAGTCCCCAGAAAGCAAATAAACTTCAGTAGATCTCTGGAACCCAATGACCCAGGTGTCATCCAGAGTGAAGGAAAATAAACATGCCTGCTTGAGATCTGGCTTAGGATAGCTATTTCAGGAGCTTTGCTCCTTACTAACAATTGGAAACCCTTCTGTGCAAGGAAACTTAACAGCTGAAGCCTGGTTCCCCTGCGGTACAAAGGAAACCCCAAAACCCTTGTCTCCTAGATTCCGAGTTTCTGAGTCACTCTGTACTCCAATGGAAAGGCACTTTGGGGACGGAAAGGGCGAAATGCTGCACACCGCCATCTCCTCAAAATAAATAATATACAAATAAATTGCTTCTCTATCCCTAATACAGCTGTGGGGATGAAACGCATCACTTCCCCTCCCCCACCAAAAAAATTAAATTAAAATAAATCACCCAGAGAAAGCCGCTTTTGAGTCCCTCCAAATGCCCTGTCTTTCCTGGAGATTCAAGTACAAGAGGTTAAGAGTCTGACCGAGTGGCGGCGCAGCATGCAACTTTCTGCAACTCTGGGATGAAGCACCTCATGCCTGGTGTCAGAGACTACTGGGCACCAAAATGACTTCTCTAGGGTGCAACGAGATGAGCCACCTGACCCATCCTATCCCCACAGCACGAGTCTCACACCCCTCAGTCCCATTCCAGAGGAAGAGACCCTCAGGACTGAGGATGGGCATGAGATCCCTTTCCTTGGACAATGCATTCAGGCCGGGTCCATATAAAAGAAAAAAAAAAAACAACCTAGAACAACAATAATAACAACAAACGTGTGTTTTTAAAAATAAAATCTGAGTCTCTTACCATCTCGTCTGACGTTGGCGTTGCGCAAAGCTTTGATGGATGCGCTCTGCGGAGTTGCAGAAGTGTGCCGATAGCCGCAAAAGTTTACGCAGACTAGAATGTAGACAAGGATGAGCCGGTGCATTGGGATCAGCGACCTAGGAACAGCGTCGCTCCAAGAAAAAGCCGGGTTCCGCTCCCGGGACGGACACCGCCCCGCGCTCTCGCCGCCTGCGCTCGGCCAGCGATGGCCCGGGACGTTGAGCTAATCGCCGAGCTCTCCCCAAACTTCCTGCATGCTGAACTTTCTGAGCGTGTGTGGGTGCTGCACTTCCTTGTGGTGCTGAGAGTTGATAAACGGTGACGGGACAAACAACAGGTTGACGTTTTTTCGCCCCCTCCGGTGGCCAGCAGCTGCAACACAGGCTGCAGGGGGCGGCCGGCGCGGCGGCCGGTGGGGCAGGCTAGTGGAGCAGTCGCGTCCTGCTGGCAGGCGGCCCCTCAGCTGAGCGCACTCGGGCCCTGAGGAGCGGCTCGAGCACACAAGCTTTCACCAGGCCCGGCTGAAACCTTCTCAGCCACTGGGCATGCCCAGTTTGACAGTCGCCCAGGGCTCTTTATACCTGTCTCAGCTTCACCGTGGCTGTTGGAGCCGAGAATAACGCGGCCGGGAGATAGTGGGAGAGGGTAGGATCCCACTATGTCTCTCCAAAGGTGATTAGTGCTTCTACCCACAAGCCTTAGCTCATGCCTTGGTGATGGTTGGGCTTGAGGAGGAGGGTTGGAGTTGGGAGTGTTTATTTCACAACCACCAAAGCTAGAGTCTACTGAGCCAAGATTTTACTATGTTAATAGTGGAAAAGCCAACGCAAAGGAACTCAGTTCTGAGCTCTCCTTTGGGCTCCAGCTGCCTTGATCTTAGTTGAGTCAATGTTAATTCCTCAGGGGGATAAAAAACAAAAACAAAAACAAAAAAGGTCCCTCTTTCTTATCTCACATGGGGTCCCCATGAGTCAGACTTGATTCTATGGGGCACCTGATTCTCACTTATCTCACAGGGCTGCTTTGATGGGCCCAAGCCGGGAAGTGTATCAAAGTGCTTTGCAACAATAAAGCAAGGCTGTTTTATATGCCCCACGCCCACCCCTTTCACAGAAGAAGCTAGAGAAGGAAATGGGATTCAGCAGGGATAGCCTGGGCAAAGTGAATAAGCTGAATGAGAGTATTTTATTCTTTTGACTTCACAGTCCATAGGAAGAGGCAGTGGACATCTAGGTCCTTGGGATCCTCCATACCCTCAGTGGCTAGAAGATCTGCAGTCCAGAGGGACTACCCCTGGGTACCAGGAATTTGAACATTTATCTTCCCAAGCTAGGAGACTGTATTTGTAACAGTAGTGAGTCTGGATTCTGCAGCTTACTAGTTTTGTCATTTTGGCCAAACTATCTGACCTCTCTAATCCTGTTTCTTTACTTGCAAAACAGAGGTAGTAATTCTTTTGTGTGGTTGTGGTGAGGATTATATGAAATAATTTTAGCATATTACCTTGTTTGTGGCTGAATCCTGATCCAAATTTACTTAATGTCTCAACTTGTCAAGAATGAGATCTAGAGACGAAAGTTTCCAGTCTCTTTCAAGCCTTTTCAGCTCTGGAAAGTCTGGGTAAGAAGAGTAAGAGGAACTGGAAGCTGCTGAGAAGCATAGGAAGTTCAGGAAAGTATAGACTTGACAAGTTATGATACTCTCCGAACACTGGCTAGGATGCATGCATTCCTTGGGCATACTCAACGACGAATCTGGTTCAACTCTATTGGCGATTTTGCCTAAAATAGTGTTTTACAAACTGCAGATTTGTGGATCTGAAATCAGTTTCAACACCAGCATTATTTTTTAAATAAATAGAATGGAAATTTAACTATCAGGGTTCATTGCATCTAATAAGATTAAATATTGTTTCATAGTTATTTTGTTTCAGATACAGACATGTGGAGATATAAATGGTATTTCTGTGGGGTATGAACATAAAAGTTTGAAAGGGACTGAGATAAAAGGTCTAATTGCATTGTCTCAAAATATAATCACCTCCTGGAATCAACCCCAAGGAGAGGGGTAAAACCTAGGTTTGCATTAAAACATTTATCCATTCAACGTGTATTTACTAAGCATGAGATTTTCCCTTTGTGCCACACACTGGTCTAGAGACTCTGGGGATAAAATAGTGGACAGGAGAGACAAGATCTCTAATCGCTTGGAGTTTACAATCTAATGGAGGAGGAAGACCATGAAAGTAAATATATGTCTGTATTAATAAGAGAAGAGGGGTAGAGAATGATGGGATGGGAGTAGGAGATAATTCAAATATGAGATACCATTTTTCAGAAGTGATTGGAAGTACTCATTAAATTTCATACCTAGCCTCTGACATGAAAATATAGAAAAAAATAAGAAAATGTGCAAGAAGCTTATGTTATTATGGCAAGTATCTAAATGCTAAAGTGGATTATCTATCTCAATATCTTGTGTAAGTTAATGAATGTAAAGTAGTCAAAGTACAGGGATCACAACAGAGGATTCTGAACGGAGCTGGAGAAAAATGTAGAACAAAATTCTAAATCATACACACAAAAAATCAGACTTACTGGTCTGACAGAGACTGGAGAAACCCCAAGAGTATGGCCCTGGACACACCTTTAACTCAGTAATGAAGTCAATCCTGAGGTTTACCCTTCAGCCAAAGACTAGACAGGCCCATAAAACAAAACGAGACTAGACTTCCAGCAAAATGGCACTCTAGGCAGAAGCACCACGCCATCCATCCACAGCAAAGATCCGAAAAACTAAGCCAAACAGAGAAAACAACAATCCTGAAACCCTAAAACATCAAATGAAGAGATAAAGAACTCAGCCAAGCACCAAACGGAGTGAGAAAACTGACAGAGAATGGAGAGCGAGGAGAGATTCATGCAGAAGTCCCCTACCAGCTAACGCAGTGTGGATCCGCCATCTTGGACTCCTATCGGAGACCAGCAAACAGGAGGTACGAGAAAGCAGCTTCATGGAGCTTCCAGCAGGAGACAAAACAACCAGTATTTTGTGATATACGCTTTCCCACCCACCACACTTCTTCACACCCACTTGGCCTTCTCTGCTTCCCACGGCCACAATCTGTTGTCCAGGAAGCACCGGCTGCTTGGATTCCACCCACCTGAATGGGCCGGCTCTCTGAGTGCCATTTGTTGGCTGCTGGTGTTGCCTTTTTCCGCTTCTTTTGATTTCTTCCTTACCTCTTACCACGTCCCCTTCCTTTGGCTCAAATACCGGACTCCGTGCGCCATCTTTGCTTCTTCCTGGGGGCCTGTGGAGCTCTGTGAGTGTGGAGCTGCTTCCCGGTCTGGGCTGCCACACTGGTGGGGTCCTGGGGCTTTTGTTTGTTTGTTTGTTTTGAATTGTTTGTTTGTTTTCTTTTCCTTTTCTTGAGTTGGGAGCCTGTTCTGTCCAGGCGGTGTTGCGTGGCTTGGAAACTACACCTTCGGCTTGCACAGACGTGCAGAGTGATCCCTGAAGGCATTTCTTTTTTCGTTGGTTTTTTTTCTGTTTTTTGGGGGGCTTTTCTTGTTCTTTTTTAAAAAAAAATTTTTGTTTTATTTTCCCTCTTTTTCCCTTTTTGTCTTTCTCCATTACTCAGTTTCTCGTCTCTCTATATCTTCCTTCTCTTTCTGTTCCCTGAATACCTGGCGTTGTGTACCTCTACACCTTCTAGCCAGGCTGTACTGCAACACCTGACAGCAGCATCCCCAGACCTCATAGCTGCACCGGTGGGATCCCTGGGAATTTTGCTGCTCTTTAACCTTTCCAATTTTTATTTATTCATTCTTTTCTTCCTCTTCCCCTTTTTGTTTTTCTCCATTTCATAGTCTCTCATCTCTCCACTCCAACGGCAAGCTCCCCTAGCATTCTTTTTTGTTTGTTTGTATGTTTCTGGCTCCTGTTCCTCTCTCATCTCTCCCATATCCATCTTAGCTCCACAGATAACAATCTCCCCACTACATCCTGCCTACCTGCACCGTGTGCTTAACATCACACCACCAAGCAGCACAAGCACGGCCTACTGGAACCTGCCCTGCACTGATTACCAAATCGCCCTGGTGGCTGTGGTGGGTGCCACAAAAAACCTGTCCCAGTAACTCCTCTTCAGCTAGACCTGCACTGCCATACCATATCTGAGTGACTGACCCTGCCAATTGGAGAAGGAGGTGAGAAGTATTGTGCCCACAGACAAGCAAACAACAAAGGACACACAGCCTGCCTGCTCAGACATAGCCAAATTTAAAAAAAAAGGGACGAAAGAAACAAATCTACAATCAATAAATGAGAAAAATAACTACTGAATGCCCCGAAGACAGCACATAATATCAAAATATTTACAAAAACAGGACAGGATGGTTCCAGCAGGCATCCAAAATAAAATACCAGATGACTTTCCAGTGAAAGAAAAGGCACTAGAACTACCTGATAGGGAATTCAAATCTCTAATACTCAGAATTCTCCAAGAGCTGAAGCAAAAAGGAGACAAAAATGAGGAAACACTAGACAAATTCATGAAAAATACAGACAAAAAATTGGAAGAATTCAGGAAAATAAT